AATGACGTTCAGCGCTGTCACAGTGACGTGCGTCTATTCGTATTTCGTATCTTGTATCAAATCAGCATATGCTATGAGCGGCACATTGCCAATTTAGCTGAAGCGGCACGCTTCAATCTTTGTTGCTCACTCTGTATAAAATTGATTGCTTTATATAATGTGAGTTTTTATTATTTATTTAATTATTAATTTTGTTGTTTTTTACTGCGATTGACTGTACATTATGCATGACTGCTGTAATTTGCATGATGCTTTCCATTTTTTTAATTTTTTGTAAATCTGTGGTATCATAAAAGTATTTTTCAGGTATTTAATGTTCTACCGCCATCCATCGCGCTTGCCATCCATAATCTAGTCATTTTTTATCCCACACTGTGCAGGGTAGTACAATAAAGGTTGTCCTTTTTTGTGACTAAAGAATCGCATTTGAAATTTTTTAAAAATATATCACCGAAAAACTGAAAATGTCAACTTTCGTTTTCATATTATCTATACCTTAAACGGTCGGAAATGAACGATTTCCGTTAGCACCTGAGCACTTCTTGACGAAGAATATGAATCTGATATCACAATTTCGATAACACTAGAAGATGTAGAAGAATTTATTAAAAAAGAGTGAAAACAAGGTCGGCATTCATTATAATGATAATTAAGTAATAACAAAAATTCATGTATGAGTCGTGGAAGTGTAGGTTTTTCTGCATAAAGAGACTTATCGGCATCTTTCAATTTAAATATTGTAAACACTTCTATATGCGAATACTGATTAGGTTGGTTCCTGTAAAATTCGCCTCCCCTCCCCTTCCCAAATGTTTTCTCGTGAGTCGGGGGACTGGTAGTCCTCGAGAAGTTTCAAGAAAAGCCGTTCCCAAGGAAAATTCGCCTTTCGCCTAGGGCGACTTGTCTTAGGATCGAGTTTTTCTGGACGTTAATTGTCCTTGCGGTTGAGGGTCATGACACGGGCAGCAAATGCTCAATATTTCTACAGGGACTGTTTGTGTTATTAGATACGACCGAACCGCCAAAGTTTAATAGAATGCTCCAACTATTATTATAGCAGTTTATGTAAACACTGAAAATCTCCGAAATACCACTTGAGTACCTTCTTAACATGGCAGATCAGTCGATTTCAGACGAAGCCATACAAGAATAGCTGGATAGTACGAATCTAATGTTGAAAACCCGAAAGTTCTACGATGTGTCGATCAAACGAATGGCCATATGTACCAATAGAGGGGCTGAAAGTGCTGAATTGATGAATTGATGAATGGTGCTACTAAAAGTCGCTTAAAATGATTCTATATCATCTGTGTCTACGAAGATATCACCATTCTTCGTTAAAACTACGCGCACTAGTTATCTACGAATGAATGGCGAATCTGTTTTTATAGGGTAATCTCTATGGTACCTATACGAAAACAATGGAACATTTTTATTAGTACCTAATCTAAATTTTGATTTCCAATCTGTGCGGAAGTTATTTTACAATACTATCAACAGTGTTAATAATAATAGTTTTAGTCATTGTTGCTGTTGCTAACCTTCAATTCTTTCCATTATTTTCGTTATCTGGGACATTACGTCCGTTGTGATAAACATATCAGATTTGTTTTTTTTTCAATAATTAATGCTCGTGGCGTGTAGAATTAAACAAACCAAAAGGGAATTGGCGCCACTAAAATATTGAATAACAAAACATTTTCTTGAATGGCTACACTGCTTAAATCTTGAAGATATCGATATGATTATGTATTCTCTGTTACAAATCTACCAAACCTCAGGGAATAGGGAAATACGCAATGTGTGGTCAACAAATCACTAACTTTACACACAGAATTTTGATGGATAGGTATCTATGCAAAATACTGTTGTCTAATAATAGTACTTCAAATTGTCTACCTACTTGCCATCCAGATTCAAAGTTCAAAACCAAAACGAGCAAGCGAACGAGGAGAAACCAGGCATAAACCAGCAAAAAGTTATGGGAGGAATCAATCCGAGTGGGCCGCTTGTCGCGAAATAAAACCAGTCATTTTCCCAATCCAGAAATAAAAATTATATGGTCATTGAATTATATGGTTAACATCTAGGTTAGCATTTTGTTTATTTAAAAAGTGCTGAGTAAATTTACAACTACTGAAGTGAAAGTGATACTCGAACAGGGGCTTAGCACATCTAGCAACTTAAAGTAAATGCTCGAAATGACGACCTTCCTGTTAGGTATCATACCAGGTATCATAATTACAACGCGGACTCGATGCTTTTCATTGAAAATTGTGTAGTTTCAGCTATCCAGAGCTATCATTTGTTTAGGTGGGGGGGGGGGGGGGGGGGGGATTAAAAAATATAATATTTTGAAAAGGTTAATCAAGATTTATTTTTCCGATAAAGAACATAAAATAGTTATGTGAAACTGAAAGAGGTCTTAGCCTGTGTTTCAATTAAAAACTTAATCGCTGGGGCCATTTAGTTTTTTTTTAAATAAACACGAAAAACGGTCAAATTTTGAGGAAAAAGATTAGAGCAGCACCATAGTTAAGGTTAAGGATATACTAAGTTACATATAAAATCAGAAACCTTTAATTACTTTCCAATTCTTCAATAAAATATGGGGTGTTGCATTAGGAACGTACGTTTGATAAGCCACTGGAATACAGTACGCCCTTATAATTTAATAATTTATTTATATTGAAATATTTTTTCCCCTAATTATTATACAGCAAAGTTGTAAATCAATTTTTTGTAGATTGAAAAATTCTGCGTCTATTCATATACTGATTGTACCCGTTTGTAATTTTTTGTTGTGGGAAATCGGAGAAATTAAGGAAATTATAAATTATAATTATAATTTTGTTTCAATAATTTCACGGCATGATTTTACTCTTGCCGCGAAATTATTGAAACGAAAATTCGATTTTTACGCAAATACTAAATTCTAATGTACGAGTATTTATTTTTTCCGCTTTCTCGAATTCAAAAATAATAAATTTGGACATGAGCAGACGCAGAATTTTCCAAGCTACAAGAAACCCATTTACCACTTTGCTCTAAATTAATTAGGGGAGAAAATATTTCGATATAAAAAAGTAGCCTTGAAATCCATATGGTTCGTAAACCTTTTCTACACCCTGCATAACATTTGCCGTTGCGCACCCTGTCTGTACGTCATAAAGCAAAGTTAAACGAAAAAGACAAAATAATCGAGTCATTAGAGAGGAGACAAAATGTAGTATAGTAATACAAAGGGTTGGGATGGTGAAAATGAAAAAGAAAGGAGGTACAAACTTAACAAAGGGCAAAGTAATAGCAAATAAGATGGGAGTGTATCGACCCCAATATACCTACAAGTGGACTTGGGATATACAGAAACGAGACTGCATGGATACTATTAAAATTAACACACATCTGTACATAGTGTATGTACATCCTGTATAGTTTAATAAAGCTAATTAACTACTTATGATAATTTGTACATGTTTGTTTACATTTTGGCGACCGACACCGATATCAAAATATTTCTAAATTTAAGTGGATATCCAGAATGACTAAGTTTGAGAAAACATGATAACAATACGCACCATTTAAGTGGTTTTGATGCTAAAAGAGGCCAGTTTTCTATAAATAAAATGCGTGTGAATATGTAAAAACATCAATCCACGCTCTAGCTCCTCTTTTTTGTTAGGTCAAGCGTCAAGCCTTTAATATTAATTCATTCAACAAATTTAGGTACCTTCTTCAGCATGTAATCAACATTCTCTATAGTTTTACGTACCTGGTGCTGAAAACTTAAAAGGTCTGCAGTTCCACGTGAAGCTTGTCAACACGGAAGTTTTTTTGTTTGAACTCAATTTTAAAGTAATTCCTGAAGGGCGCACAAAGCCGCACAGTAACCACTCCAACGCTTCGAGTTACTGCGATTACTATTTAAGTATTTACTAATCGCGATACGAGTTTATGTGGCGCCTCAAAATGGAGGGGATACGGTACGGTATTATGTCACTTTCTCTATATACGGTTTTCGCTATAAATAGCGTTGCACGTCATCAACAGAAGAAAATGGCATGCCAATTTAAATCAAGATTTGGCGGATTTATATTCATTATTATTTAGTTACTTTTTGGGAGAATAAGTTGGCAGATTCGGAATTTTACGCAAATACTAAATTCTAATGTACGAGTATTTATTTTTTCCGCTTTCCCGAATTCAAAAATAATAAATTTGGACATGAGCAGACGCAGAAATTTCCAAGCTACAAGAAACCCATTTACCACTTTGCTCTAAATTAATTAGGGGAGAAAATATTTCGATATAAAAAAGTAGCCTTGAAATCCATATGGTGCGTAAACCTTTTCTACACCCTGCATAACATTTGCCGTTGCGCACCCTGTCTGTACGTCATAAAGCAAAGTTAAACGAAAAAGACAAAATAATCGAGTCATTAGAGAGGAGACAAAATGTAGTATAGTAATACAAAGGGTTGGGATGGTGAAAATGAAAAAGAAAGGAGGTACAAACTTACAAAGGGCAACGTAATAGCAAATAAGATGGGAGTGTATCGACCCCAATATACCTACAAGTGGACTTGGGATATACAGAAACGAGACTGCATGGATACTATTAAAATTAACACACATCTGTACATAGTGTACATCCTGTATAGTTTAATAAAGCTAATTAACTACTTATGATAATTTGTACATGTTTGTTTCCATTTTGGCGACCGACACCGATATCAAAATATTTCTAAATTTAAGTGGATATCCAGAATGACTAAGTTTGAGAAAACATGATAACAACACGCACCATTTAAGTGGTTTTGATGCTAAAAGAGGCCAGTTTTCTATAAATAAAATGCGTGTGAATATGTAAAAACATCAATCCACGCTCTAGCTCCTCTTTTTTGTTAGGTCAAGCGTCAAGCCTTTAATTTCTTTCATTCATTCAACAAATTTAGGTACCTTCTTCAGCATGTAATCAACATTCTCTATAGTTTTACGTACCTGGTGCTGAAAACTTAAAAGGTCTGCAGTTCCACGTGAAGCTTGTCAACACGGAAGTTTTTTTTTGTTTGAACTCAATTTTAAAGTAATTCCTGAAAGGCGCACATCGCCGCACAGTAACCACTCCAACGCTTCGAGTTACTGCGATTACTATTTAAGTATTTACTAATCGCGACACGAGTTTATGTGGCGCCTCAAAATGGAGGGGATACGGTACGGTATTATGTCACTTTCTCTATATACGGTTTTCGCTATAAATAGCATTGCACGTCATCAACAGAAGAAAATGGCATGCCAATTTAAATCAAGATTTGGCGGATTTATATTCATTATTATTTAGTTACTTTTTGGGAGAATAAGTTGGCAGATTCGGAATTTTTTTTACAATGTTGTCAAACGTTATTTGTAATATTTGTTGACATTTGACACTTTTGTTCGGTTTTTGCGTGTGAAAGTTTTCGGATATTCTTGTGGTTGTTGTCAGGGGCGGACTGGCCCGGGGGGGCGGATGGCGATTGCCACCTGGCCTGTAGATCATAATGGCCCGTTGGAAATTTATAAGTATGTGCTGTATTTAGTTTCTTGCACTATTAATAAATTATTAACACGTTTCTCTAGTTGGGGTTGATGTTAGGTTGTTAAAAAATTCTGTTTTAATTGAAGTGTTTTACAATGAATTTATCATTTTTTGTCGTAGCATGAATGTGCTGAAATACAATGATAGGCGACGCACCTCGTGTGGATTGTATATTTTGTTACTTTTAATTATCAGCTGCAATTAAAAAAAAACCGTATGGTAATTGATTTTCGAGAAAGGAGTAGGTACTTTAAAATGTTTTTGTGGTGCACCTCAGAGCTAACCTCTTTCACGGTAATCACTGGCACGTCAGGCGAAGGTTCTAAAATCAGTGAAGAGGAAAGTGACGGATGATACTGTTTAATTAGTTTTAAATACACACTGCTTTGTCATTAGTAGTACTTAGGTAAATTTTGTTATTTTGGGTTGTAATTATTGTACTAAATTTCTTTCTCCAGTTTTCAAACGTAGCTGCATTAAAAAAATGACAAAATAGAACAAGTTTAAATTTCCCGCCAAACACTATTGACACAGACTGTACTTCTAAAATACAGCGACACCAAACAATCGCCTTCTTGACGGACTTGTTTGCTTGGCTTGACTGTACACTATACTATTACTATGTTACTGTTTTTTTATAAATGTGTCGTTTCTCTTCAGTTTTTTAGGCCATTTGCTTCATTTTCATTTGATTTGCCCACCCGTCTTTACCGTAGGAGTACTGGAGTAGGACGTGCTACATTCGAATTTTTATACTGTGAGGAAGTAAGCCTCACTTTTACGAGCCCGTACTGCTCTTAGAAACGTCTCCGAGGTGCCTGAAAAAGGGACAGAAATAGAAAATTGGACTACTGCTTCAGTGTTCAAAATATTGAATTTGGCCGTTTTACGATAAAGAATTATTTATTTATTTAACAATTAAAGCAAGTGATGAAACTGTAGTCTGTCGCACTCACGCGGGGCACTTTAAGACTACTTTTTACACGTTCTTAATGGGATAGAAAACAGAAAATCCAAATGGGCTTTCACGTGAACTTGTAAAACAGGAACTTGAAATAGGGCTGTCCTAATTCATATAAGGGGTTTGAAATTTCCCTTAGTTTATTCAAAACTTCTTGAGATTTCTTAACTAAGATTATATAAAATAAATTGAATTATTGTTTGCCATCGACTAGCACAAATCTTTCCAAAAATGTTTACTTCTTTTAGGTGAATTCTTAAAGCATAACCTCTCCTGCGACCTATAATGTCACTACAAAATTCTTTGATTTTTTGGGGTTTGTCAAATAAATAAACACTGAATGGGCAATTGAGCATGTAACGTTCCCTCCTTATAATTCCCTTTTTGATTGCCCTGTATATCACGCAACGATAAAATTTCCCAAACCTTTTATGAATCATGTGCCTCTGGTCATTCTAATATTTACTTGTCCGTAAATTTGTACTATTTTTATGATGATTCTGAATTGAGAATAGCCAATAGGGCCCCAGATTACTCACTTCAGTCGTATTTAATACTATCATACCACTATCTAGTAAGATGTTTAGATTTCGTGCTGCTATCGTCTACTTCGAAGTGATTGCTGAGCGATTAAATTAAAAAAAAATAACGCCAAATTCCAGGATATAAAGGGTGTATATTGAAAATCTTAAGACAACACATTTAAAAGTGTTGTCGTCGCATTACATCCTTCACTTACGAACTTTCCAACCAAAACAGAATACAAATATACATACATGCGTCCAATGAACCTACCCCTAAACCTAACTAAATTTGCTTTCCACAAACTGTTGAATAATTAAACTACACCATATGAGCAGTATCCGGGTATTCAGCTTTTTCCCCCAGATACTCCTGTAGCAACTGCCTGATGTAGGTACCAACTTACTTACTTAACACAACAAATCATACTTCCAACCACTAGTAGGTAATTACCTATCGTTAACGTCAATAAAATATGGCAGCATTCTCAAAAGTTCTTCCTGTTAACTTTGCTTTTCCGTATTATACTGGACAAACTTTTTCTAAAAACTTACAGTACAAAAAAATAAACTTTTAAGTACCTTAAAGTGGTTTTTCCACCGCTTCTCCTTTTCGGTCGTAGGTAAAAGATACAGCTATGACCAAATGACACTGACAGTTCCATTGAAAATGTATCAAGAAGATGTCCACAGGAATTTTGCGTTGAACCAAGGCCTACGATACTTGTAGGCCTCGGTTGAACTGATGCTAATAAATGTGCAACACGAAAATCAAACCATTGTTTAAATGTTGGTGTTTTTACCCTGAAGGACTCTCGCTCGCGGTCTTTAAACGTTTTATTTATTTGTTCTCAGGAAGTAACGTACGAGTATATGACTTCGACAATTTTGCAAATGTCCCCTTTAAGTTCGCTTTTTACTAATGACTTTTGCGTCAAACTGTTTTATGCTACATTCCTTGAGGTAAATTCGCGTTCACCGCAAAAACGAAACTTTCTCGCTAAGAAAGTCCGAGTTCTACCAGGGGTTCGCTTTCGATCGCGGCTTCTGTGATATTCTCTTTCTCCTATTTCAAACTATCCCCCTACCACCTTTTTTCCATACACGCGTTCAAAATGCCTAATCAGATTTAAATCCTTAGAGCTGAAATCGCCACTATTGGTTAAATCAAAAATATCCGCGACCGTGATAGAAAAAATTAAACCATTAACACCCATCTGATTGTAATGGTCTGTCCATAATCTACAATTTATTATTGGGTTTACTGTATCTGGGGTTAAGCTTAGGCACAGCACCATATTGCAGAGTTGCAAAAGTAACTAAAAAAAGGTAATCTGAAACTAAATCCAGACATTGGGGCGACCAGCAGTGATTAAAACAAAGACTGTTAAGTACTATATTTTGTCAACCATTTTTGTTGCCTTTTGTTTACCTTATTTATAAGTTTATTAATACCCCATCTCTCATTCTCATTGTAGAAAACTAAATTAGGAACATTTTGGGACCTCTTCAAGCTGAATGATTGTTAAGATTTTCATTACCTATGCTTGGTTATAAATGTATCTAAAGTTAAAATTGTCAAGAATTCTGAAAGTAGAACGACCTAGGTCAAATTCTAGTCCTGATCTGATTGCAATAGGGTTGGCACTCTTGTTCAGAATATACATTCATACTGACTGCCTTGTGTCTAGCTTGGGTTGTGAACAGGTCCGGCGATCAAGGGCTCCAGGTTTGAACTTTTTCGGAACTTCCTTTTAGTAAGGTATGTAGGTAAGAAATATGAACGATTCTGCAATTTGCCGGAAGTGCGACTTTCCAAATTGTTGTCCTTATAAATTACCACATCTATACCTACGGGACTTCACCTGCCCTTGTCTCTCGCCGTCCTGGTTGTGAGAGTGATCTTCCTATTATGATCTTCTTTTTTCCTTGTAAATCCCCCGTGTAGGGTCGGGAGGATAATAAGAATAACCCTACCGCAGAGACACTGCGTGTCGTAAGAGGCGACTGATCAACAGACTATGAGCGCATTTGCATAATTTTTCTTACAAAGTTACAAACTTGTGTACACTGTACAACTTTTTGAGTTTAGCGCTGCACTACTGATGCGGTAATGTTGTTATAATTATAAATCATAACTACCGTACCGATTTTTATCAATAATAATAGTTCTATTTCTGTTAAATCAATTAAAATCTAAAAGAACGTTACGGGGAATTAGGTGTATCAGGGAGGCTGTTGTAAAGATCTGTTCATACTTACCTGATCATATCTTACATTTGTAGGAATTGCACTTACTCGACTAAGGAATGAAAGGGTTAGAATGTTCTTTCTCTACGGATGTTTGACGTTTGTTTTTTGAAAGTATTCCATAAATCAGAACCGTTTGTGAAATCTTTCAAAAATTTGAAAGGATTGAGGATTACGAATTACCTACTTAAGGGACAGGTACTCAAAATGGTGACCTTAAAACAGGGAGAGCTGTATGCATGTGTTTCTTTGTTCTTTTTAAAAGTTTTAAAAATTGTCGGGATTTTAGAAGTAAAATTGCTGCTAAACGAGGTTTAGTAACATTGATGATGCGAGTGAATTATAGACACACGTATTTTGTTCTACGGTTATTTATTCGTTCAACATTAATATTAGAATTATTTGATCTTAATCTGCACCTTTCATTTAAAACAAAAAGAGCAAACAACATTAAATTCGAAACACTAATTAAAGCCAGTACTTATTGATATCCTTAAATTAATACAATATCCTAATTTAATAAATCATGTACATTGAAGCTAATTAATTAGCAATTTAGGCATATGATGCTAATTTCTTTGGTACCACTGGCAATTAACGTTCAACAATGACCACTTTTAATATAGATATAAAAGTAAAAAAAATATATATAAATATTTACTAACGTGTAATAAATTAACAGTAATATTACTGAGGCTTTCTGAGCCGCCATTATTTATAAAGCGTCTTTATACAATACATAAAGTTGTATCTTTACAAACTGAGATTTGTGCTTCCTGCAGTATTCTCAACCGCGGTCCTAAAGGAACGCCCATCTTCTGTAATCTTTCTTCACTCAAATATGGCAATTCAACCATACCAACTCGTTCGTTCTCAAAGACGTTGGCATATTTCTACAAAGCGAATTTGTTTACGTGGGAACAAGGCAAAGGCAACCTACCTCGTATCCTAGCTTTCTAAGGAAGAGTCTTAACAATGGCGGCTCATCTCCAAAAAACTTAGTCAGTTTTTTGACACGTGTGGGGTTAGTGAGGTTGGGGAGATCCTTGGAACCGTTGGCCGCACGCGTCGCCGACTGGGATCTTACGTTTAGCATATTCGTTTGTGTTCGCAAGGCGGAAATCTCTCCTCGTATTGTCTCCATTTCCTGAATCATCAGGTGCTGCGTTCTCATTTCTGAAGACAGATGGGCAACGGACCGAGCCAAGGTCACTACGTGTGATTCAAGCCGTTGGAAGCGCTTATTAATTCCGCGTATATCTTTCACCTTCTTCCTGTCTTCGTTGGCCCGTCGTTTGTCTCGTATTGGCCTACTACTCACAGAGCTGGAAGGCAAAGAGGACATGCTGCCGTAACGTCTCTTACTAAACCTAGGGTCCGACGGCTGGTACCGCCCCATGTGCTTCTTCACTCCCAAAATTTTTAACACCTCAGAATACATCCCTTCGAGACTTTCCAGTTGTTTGCGTATGGCTCTGGCGTCCGTCGTGCTAATATCGCCCTCCGAATCACTCTGGTTGTCGAGCATCGATTCCAAATCTAAAGATCGGGTTGTAGTCGACGCAATATCAGTGTTATCAAACCCAAAAGCTAAAAAAACGATTAGTTCTAGATTTGGTCAGCCTAAATCTCACCTTGCTTTGCTCTAAAAGCCGCATTGTGATCTATCTTCTTATTTCGTTGTTTCTGTGGTGTCGCATTCGACCAACGACCCGTTCCCACCGCGTGCCCTTTGTGTAACTTATTGTACGTTTCATGACCATAATCCGGCTTACTTCCATACGGAAGGCTGTTGGCATTAATTAAAACTAGGTTATTCAAGTTGAGATTGATTACCTGCTATGTTTCTTAAACTTGGCGGAATTTCGTGGTGTTAAATTCGGCGAGGATTGTTCACCGGGTGATAGAGGTGGTAACGGTGGGGTCATCGATGATATACTTTCGCTTAAGGTCGAATTTGAGATGCCTACGCTATTTCCTTGTAAGGAGAGCTCGTGCAATTTTGGTTCAAGGATGGTACGCAGCTCGTTTTCGACAACGTCCACCCATTCAGAATCTTGACCTAATGAAAGATTGCTTTAGCACAAGAAAATTAACAAAGTGATAATTACTTGAGTGGTAGAGGTCCTTGAAGTTGGTTTTGTTACGATGTAACTCGGGGGATTCTTGTATTCCTTTGGTGCCGGGTCGCCTCCCACTACTGTAAGCGGCGCTTCCTCGCCCAGAATCGGCATTTGATGAACTTTGGCCTGGTTTATCGTAATCGGAACTCGCCCCTGATTCTCCCGTCATTTTCTTGTCGGTTTTGGGTTTAATGGGTTTTTGGCCGATGTTGTAGACGCCTTCTATTCTGCCAATCTCGCCTTCGAGTCGCTTTCTGGGCGAACCCATCAGAGCATCTGAAATTTTCGAATCGTTATATCCACTACTTTCTTGCGTGTCAGTTGTGTTTGGTCCCGTGCTGGTATCGGGGATTTGTAGGTCGGATCCTTCCTTTTCTTGTCTGTCAGTGGTGCGCTTTAGGAAACCACCGTCGTCGCTGTCTTTTTCATTCTCATTAGCGGCGCCTATAGTTTCAATTAGATTCCCGTGCGAGCCTCTTCGTGCGTGAGCTGATACTAGGTGCGGGTAAGGGTGATTGGTGGTGGTCTCGGCTGTAACTTCGTCATCACACGCGAGTTGTGGCTGGGATGCAGTCCTACGGGTCTCAAAGCTTCTTTGCCTCAGATTATCCCTTTCCAATTGTTGCGCGCTTCTTTTTTCCACATTCGGCCGGCGATCATCAAGAAACCTCTCGTTCTGCATTTCACGCTCGTCCAACTGGGAGTGGTGCATTAAAATATAATTCTGTTCCGAACCTTGCGACATGCCGTAACGTTGCATAGGCCGTTGAGCTGCGGAACCGTACGGACTTTGGTAATAAATTTGTTCAGGAGTGCACGGGGCTAAAATTTCTTGAGATCTTGCTTGGGTGAGCTGATGATTGGGGTAGAAATTTTGTCCTTGACCTTTCAGCTGTTGTGCCAGCTGGTACTGTTGAGCAGTTTGACGCGATTGCGGGGCTGGCTGTGAGAGTAGGTGCTGTTGCATCATCTGTTGATTGTAATGGTGTTGTTGTTGCATGTTTAAATTTGGCTCCGTTCTTGGTTTACCATAAATACCCTGATCACCGACTGTCTTTTTAAAATTGTTAGTGAGTTCGTCCGAATATTCGTCACCCAGGCGGTCTATGCTTCTTGCACTTTTTCTCAGTTCATCTGTAACATTATTTAAGCCAGGTTCGTCCATTTTCTCATCTGAGTTTTCCTTTCCGCTCCGAAACCGATTGGAGATCAAGTCTTTGATTGTATGATAAGTCTTGGTTACTGACTTAGAACTCTTGGGTGTCTCTTTTTGATTGTTGTCTTTTGCAGTTTCTATAGATATTGCTACATTGGGAGAATTCGTTTGATTGTCATCACTTTGTGGGTATTGGCGTGGAGCAGGCGAAGGTCTAACTTCTCCGCCTTGCCACGTAGAACGGGGAACCGCGCCAGTATTTTGGCCATTGTAAAAATCTGACACGGACAGGTATGGTGATCTGTATAGACCCGTCTGGTCTACACCATTGTGCAAATTATTTTGTTGGGTCTGATGGATATGCGCTGGATGAATCTAAACAACAAAAAATAGTACAAATTATTACGACCTAACAATTGCCATCAATGCCAAGGCGAAAGAATACGTTCGCAGTTTCTAAATTAGTTCTAAGTATTCATAGAAGAGGTACGACCGTTTGTTTAGGAAGGTGTGGTTTATGCATTACTTGCAAATACGGTATTGCAAAAGATCGATCGTTACAAGGCGGGAGATGAGTTAAACATTTTAATAACTCTGCTTTCATATCGATTATCATTAACCTATTTATGAGAAATCGTTCTAGGTCGAAACGATATTTATTGGTATCGGCTTCAAATGTCTTTTGTGTGCTATATGGGGCCTTTAATAATGAAATAAAAGTGCAAAGTGGTCACATTGGGTACCTACTGGATTTCTCAAAAAATGTCTAAATTTCATTCTAAATAAAACAATACCTAGGGGAACACCAAACGTTCATCCAAGCTTATCCGCACATTTAACAGTTCGTAAAGCTTGAAGGTGATTAACCGGATATGAATAATCAGAGGAGCGTGTGCCATTAGTTCACAAAAAATATGCAAGTTAGACTTACAGATTCGGAGCTTAAGGCGAATTCGACCATTTCGTACACAAACAACAATCACCTGGCAACCAACAACGTAAACGCGCGTAACAATAGTGAGGACGTCTACATTTCCTGAGGGTACTACCGTCTTCATAGAATATAAACAATTCCCGCCGATAATATCTTTGAGTGAAAATATAGTTGCACAGCCAATAAAATGGCATTAAAAATGTTGAAGGAAATAAAGAAGACAGGTATACTTATTTGCACGACACGCTATCACCGTAGCTACTTAAGATGCGGCATGTACTTACAAAATATGAACGTATTGTCCATTTTAAGCGTTAAGGTTATTTTATTTTTACATTCTTATGCACACGTAATAGGAATTTCTAGGTACCGAATAAACATTTTGTAATTTTTTTAGTTTATTTATACGGGAATACCGTTCGTTGTACTTGGCAACTAATTACGTTGTAGTTCATTGTTCTTCACCTGTAACAATTTGCATAACGAAGTGATGCTAATAGTTTATGAATGTATTGTTTCTGAAATAATCAAAAATCTTTCCCTTGCTCAAGATCTTAATTGCAGGTCAATTCAACTCAAGTTCATTGCTGCTGATTATGTCTCTGACAAAAGTGTAGGTACGTTTGATACAATATGAAATATGGTCCCGTTATCCCGTATGTTGTTACAGTTACAAATTCGCTGGATTAAACACGGATCTTTCAAGACGTCCTAATAGTTCCACCTAATCAAGGAATTGGACGACCAATTGGACGATAAGGGCGAATGGCTATAGGGAATTCGTACCAGTAATGTACCTACCTAATTTTGGATGAAATAGATAGCGAGCCCTACAAAAAGCTTGACACGTATTTCCCTAACCGCGAAATAATTCACACATTCGACCCTCTCTTCACAAATCATTTTTTTTCGTTCGCAGAGTTATGCGCATCTAATGGAAAATACATTTTTGTACTCATTGAATGGAAAGATAATGTTTCCAAGCATCCTGGATGCACGGGAAAACGACTTTCCCGCATCGCGGTGTTTTTTAGTTTCCGCTGGAGAGAAGGGGTTATGTGCGTTCTTCGGTTGGTAGTACTTATTGAAGTCAACGAGCGTCATGTCATGGTTAACTGTCATCTGCTGTAAAATCAATTAAACCGTTGGTTGAGGGTATTTAGTGCGATTAATCGGAAACAGACGTACACTAAGTTTTACGTAAATATATAAACAAGAACTTATAACGCAATCAAATTATTTTTCAGAATTGGAACTCAAGAAAAAGTAAAATTTATTGTTAAAACGTCTTAAAATGTGACCAGTGATATTCTGCAACTATTCGCATATGCAGTTTAAGAAAGCACATATTAACACACACAAAGCTTCCAAGGATTTTAAATGTAACGAGTGTATTTACGCAACTCAAGATATTCAGTGCAAACGATGCAATTCCGTGACCAGTAGTAGCACTCATTGCAAAGGCAAAATATGTATTAACCAAAGATGTGGAAGTTTTAAATGTGACCAGTGCATTATTAAAAGTGGGTAGTTACAAAATTATGTTACCAACCAAACATATGATTGTGTTACCAACTCATGATTAAAAAAAAGCTAATTTACAAAACTTTATTAATTTTGACCTTTTTTTACGCAATTCGTTACAAAAAATATTGTACCTAACTCTTTCGGAAAGAATTTTCCCGCATTCGCACTAAATGCAGCACTCCCTACGGTCGTGCTGCAAACAAAGTGCTCATGCGGGAAAATTAACTTACCGAACTTGTTAGGTAAATAACTATTTCAAATGCCCCCCTTCCCGAACCTATTTTGGTTGCCACAATCCGTGCACGCTATGATAATCAATTTAATAGACTAATGGTTCTGACACAACTCTTTACAGTCACAACTGAAACAAATCCAGACGTTAATCCATACCTTCATATTAAAATCGTTCTGCATGAAATGCACAAAGTATCAGAAATCGCCTTCAATAAACAGTTATCGTGATGTTCAATGAACTTAATTTATACAAAGGTATTAATTAAATAATTACTCTAACGTAACACTACGTTCGGGAATGGTGAAATTACATTACAGTAAATTGTGGAACTGTTAACCTGATAGCGCCATAAACAGCTTTAAATTGCATATTGGAATATTTATTTATTCTGTTGACACAGTAACGGCTATTAGCCATCGTAAACCATCACTTAATTTATCATGCTTGTTATGTGCGGACTGCAACCCTTACCTGATCAGGATTCAAAACCTGGGACTGCAGTGTCATTTGTCTTTGAGCTTGTGTCCAGGCGGCCATTTGTTTGGGAGGTATGTCAGGTGCGATGGCAGACTTTGATCTTTTTTTGTACTCTTGTAGTATTGGAATTTTGGAGTTTTTATCCGCACTGGATAAAATCACCTCTCGTTCAATCTGTAATGACGTAAAGGCTTAGTCATAGCAGTAAAATATACAAAGAGCAAGTATTTTCGACAGTAATTTGACACTTATCATTAGAACCAGAGAAGTACTAAGGGCCACACAGAAAGGCGCTTGTTGCAGGTACACAGGGCGTTCAGTTACCAGCTGAGCTAATCATTATATGGGAGACTATAATAGAATTCTGCGAAGTAATGGGTCAGTTTCAGCTAAATTATTTTCTATTTTGTCTCATTGCAGTTATAATGGATTTGGGTCACGCTTCGTTATTTTAAATTGTTTTATTCATTTTGATTAATAATCCTTATAGTGTCTTACAGTGAAAAAGTCAATTGAAAGACTAGTATAGGTACTTGAATCCATGTCTTGTGTATTATTACTAAAAGTTATTAGAAAAATAATTTACATTATAGTGTTTTTATTCAATGGTTGAAGTCTAATTTCTTACACTTCAAAATAATTTAATCATATAAATTAAGAATGAGTTAAGTGATAGATGACAGTGAAATTACGAAAGCTTTTTAAATCTTGCAATATTTGAAGCAAATATAGAGAATTCGGTTGAATAACTAACGAAAATTAAGATCTTCCTTATTTTTTAGTCCACATTGCCAATTCGCGTATTCCGATCTCCACCTGCAAAATTGCATCGTAATCGAAATCGGTCCATTCATTTTCGAGATATCGTGGTAACGGACAGACGAACGGCCATCGCAAAATTATGAACTCGCTAGAAGCGCGTTAACAAAATAGATTATTCTCAGGATTTGCTCAGCTTAGGATTTGGTGATAAATTTCGGTTTCTAGAATGCGAAAAATTTTTTAACAGGAAGCCCCTTTTTGTGTCTTCACCTGTCACCTGTGCTGACAAGGATCGTTTGTAATTAAATCTGTATGTAACGTTATTGTTTCGGGTTCAAATACGGTTCTTTAAAGTAACTAGCACAGAAAAAATAGAGATAGATAGATGAACTATTCCACAACCAAATGATTACGTATAGGTATCAATACACAGAACATATACTACTTCCTGAAGCTTCCGCCTCTCCTTCATATGCGAAACCGGCATTTCGGAATCGCAAATACATAAAAGAAAGAAAAGTTGCCTCATTCAAGTAATGGTATCATTATAGCACATTTTAACATGATAGTAAAGCAGTCTTTTAAAACCTTTTGCTGGTTTCATTATAAGTTCCTACAACTTTTGGTAACGCACAAAGGTAATCTCTCGAAACTCTGCCAGTCAATTTTCCCAAACTCTTCGCCACCTCTTCGTTCTGTAAAATTCCTTCGTAAAATTATTACCTTATTGCAAACTACGCAATGCCGACATTAAAAAAGACGAATATCACTTATTTTAAAAATGTTTCCAAATTCCACGTCCTGAATAGAAAACTAATTTGTTTTCTCAATTATGTACGACTCCATTTTTACTTAAAGTTTAGAGGTTCTTTAATCCAAAGAATATCATTTAAATATATTAAAAATAAAGGTGAGTGTACACTTGAGACTCATACAGCAATGCACAAAAGAAACAATGAAGTTACAATACCGCAGTGAGGGCGTGGAAGAATGCGAAACGTACACGCATAAAGTAAGAAAAAGAAACCCATTATTATTACAACTTAAAAACCGTTCATTCTTCTCGTACTATGCGTCTGAATTTAACACGCAGGTGAGGTAATGGTTAAATAATTGTCAAAAAATTGAGTTAAGTGAATGTTTTAAGCGCGGTAGAAGCGGCTTGATGCACTTGCGAGAATCCCGTCGGTGGACATATCTGATTAATTAAGGCCATTTGTAAAATGTAAATTGGGTACTAATTTCGGTTTTACACCTACCCGTGCAGTAACATTATGTGACAACATATGTTGTACCACCGACGCGAACAATAAATTAATTTTATTTCAAACGGCAATTAATTACTTACCGGGAATTTGCTTGAATGCGTTTGTAATCCCTGCGAGTTGCTTAAATTTCCAGACGATTCCAAACCGGTAGCTCCTGGAATACTTGGCTCGTTGAACAGGGGGTACGGTGGCATTCTGTAGGGCGGAGGTGGTGCACTACTGGAGTTTTGCTGTGGTAGAGGTTTAGGTGGCGGCACAGGTTTATAAGGCCCATACCCATCAACCTCAACTGAAACAAAATAAAAAACCTCCGTAAATAATTGTTGTTAATTAGTTATTCTCTCAAAATACCTTTGTAATTATAGTCACACTCACCTAACGTTTCGCACGTAAAGGGTAATTTACAATTTCCAACTAAAGATTTATCAGGAGTTGAAATCGGCGGTATTAAGGAATTTTGAGATCTTCTTAAACGTTCGCCATGCTTTACCTGTCGAACGGTACGACACGAAGCCATTACATGGCGGCATTCTTTGAAGAGTCCGTTTCAAATGTTTATTTTGGCAGGTGCCGTTTTAATTGTCGGTCATCCATCTGTCATTAGGTGAGAATTTTTTGGAATTATGCAATATTTAGGATTACAGATACCATCTTTTAATTTTTGAACGACTTGTGCAAATCTCTGTGCACATGCATTCGTGCCATCACAATCGATTGGAATGCGTCAACCAATGCCAAATAGAAACAATTAACTATTAAATTGCTACCAGAAAAAAGGATGATAAAAAATACACTTGCTAATAAAAAGTAGTTTCGAAAATAGACGGTTTTACTCAAAATACGATAAAAAGCAAGAATTGAAAAATTTGCTCTTGAAGCATTATTATCATTGATTTGAGGAATGATAAAGATATTAGAGCAGACAGGAAAGGTTCAGACTGGGCTACATATATCATGATTCGAATAACTATTAGGACAACTAGAATTACCATACACAGTTTTAAAAGTTCAATAAACTACACCTAATTAATACGTAATCCGTAATGGAATGCAAATTAATTGATTTTTAATAAACAACGCATCAGATTACTGTCGCAACATCTTAATCTTTAATGAGAAAGTTCCGATTTAAATTTCTAATTAGGTTATATTGACCGTTAGTTGATTAGAACCGATTGTCAGTCATCCGCAAAGGTAACAATATACCATATGAATTATAGCTTCCCACCGAGATCATTAAACAACAATTGATAACGATACTAACAGCGCGTTTCACTTCCTCGTCTTCTTACATAATGCACATTAGAAGTACGGTTAGTTTATTAATTTTTGTAATTATCATTAAGGAATTATTCCGTTTTAAACACCAACTGTGTTTAGGTGGTTTATTCTATGTGGATGAATAGGACTTTTTCTTACTTATTTATAAAGGAAGTTAATTAACATTAATATTCTACTACTAGTTCTACGCATAGCGTCTCTAAATAGGTCAGGTATAAGATTCAAGTAGCACTCCCCTGGGTCTTTTATGATGCTTTCTGCTTTTTTCTGTTTTAGTGTTAATGCTTCGCCTCGTAGCAGTGGTCGTATGAGTATCTTGTTACCTACTTAAAGAGAATTTTTATCCGAATTCCGACTGTAGTATGCACAAATGTTTCCCAAAGGACCCCGTAGACACGATAAATCGGGTGTATATTCCAGAAATGCAAGGAGTAGGAAAATTAGGAATGGTAAAATAGATTTTCCAGAGGTACAAAAGAAATGAAAGACATTTTTGAAGTAGGCGTAGAAGAGCGCGAAGTGATAATAAATGATTTCCAAATAAATTGAAATGCAATGAAATGAAGATCATTTCGAAAAAGAAGGAACTGAGGGAATATTATAAAAATGATGGAATAGAAACCCAATGAAAAGGATGAAGAAATTAATTCCAGTAGGAAAATTTAGGAAATGAACGGAATTTCTAAATAATGAAACGATAATCATACATGAGTAGGACGAAGAGACATATGAACATATTATGGACATGTTTAAAACAGCATGGTGAAAGGTCTAAATTTTGTTGGTTTGGAAGTTTGAAACATGATTTCTTCTTGTATAAAACTACTTTGAATGCATTATATATATAGTTCGATAGTCATGGTGTCAAATGGATCATTAATTAATCTTTCATTATTATAGACGGCAGGGCAGAACAGAGGAAGTGGAGATTTGAGTTTCAATTGAGTTGTGAAAGAGATGCTTATTAAGCTGGAGAGTAGATGAATAAACTAGAAGAGAAAATTGACAAAAAATTTGAAGAGTTGTTTTCAACATCGCCTAGGTATGGTCAAAGTGTAAATTGTATTGCTTTAGTTTCTATCGGTTAAATTATGGCGAATACTTTCCAGTGTAGAAATCAGGAGGTTTCCATTTGAAAAGGTTAAATTTTCTCATTCTTAAGTGAGCACCGTGTATAAGTTTTTGAAATCAATAGAATGAATGGGATCCAGTTTGTCGTTGGATATTCTGCATCTATAATTGTTTATAAACCATATCTACTGATTAAACATGCACCACTGGAGAAGAATAGCAAGTGAGCCTTCGGCGGTGGTAAAAAAACAAAGCCTATGTTATCATATATGTACTTAGTTCTAATTTGATTCTGTATTTTTTGTGCCCACCACACAGTATAAGTCAAGCTGAGTAGGACCTCTCTGGAGGATAGCCAGGGAGACGTGTGCGACGGTGGTAAAAATCAAGGTATATTTTTCTCATTATTGTAATTTTTTTTGTGCTTTTTCTCCTGCAATTCTCATTTCAGATGTGACATTTATCCTCACAGAGTCAATCAAAACTTGGCAGAACGCCTCTGGTGAAGGATAGTTCTCATTGCTTTAATTCGATTATGTAATTTTTGTACTTTTTCTCCTGGAAGAATTGTAGTTTTCTTTTTCATTTCAGACTGGACGTTTAGACGCATTGCGGAAATCAAGACTTTGTGAACGTCACTGGAGAAGAATCCACGGGGACTTCAACTTGTTTCGGCGGTCGTAAGAAACAAAACATGTTTTTCCCATTGTTCTACGTATTTGTTTGTGCTTTCTTTCCTGCAATAATTGTAATTCTTTTGTCATTTCAGATACGACATTTTCGAGAGTTTTGCGGTATTCTTAACCTTTTCTCAGTTATAGTCAGTTTTTGTTAGAAATTGATGTATACACAAATATGTCATCAATTCAGTCCCAATTTCAACGCCGAAGTAATAAATAGTTGGCGCTGTTATAAACCAATTCATTTCAAGACTGTTATAAATATATTGTTAATTAGTTGTAGATAAATAAACCGCGTAATTGAATTTACGTTTCAGTATTAAATTTTTTATTACGACTATAGCCTCAATCCCTTTCTTTCCTAACCCAATTAAATTTGTGAGCCGTTATGATAAACCCGACTCTTAGCGTCGGTTTTTCTTGTCTCACTTAAATTTACTGATAGGTAACCTCCTGTGTGAACACATTTTTTGACAAATTCCGAAGCACGAAGTACTAGATTTAAGATTTTTAAATTTTGTAAATTGTTTATTTAAATTTATATATTTAATTGTAAAACGCGAAACTTCGTCTTAAAATGTAGGCACATCTGGTCGTTTGCGATGAGGGGTTTTTATCGGACCATATTTAATTAACGCACGTGTTCTTATCTCCGTTACGAGATAAGGTAATTCGAAGAATTTCGTGTTATTTTTGGCGTAAGTAGGGGCGCGTTCTTTTGAAGCTGGCGTCATCAAGTCCGTTGAGATTGACGAGTTATTTGAAATTAAGGAAGGAGTTTATTTGATGGTGGTGTTTCTCTAAATATTGGGGTCAACGTAAAAACTGTCAATTATCGCGACGGTAAAAAGAGCGTGTATTTATGTTTACGCTAATTTCTCGGTCAGTTTACCCCATTTGTTTAATTGAAGACGCAGTTCGCCACTTTCGAAATAAAGTGTGTAGAAGTTAAGCAATCTTCATAAATGATTGAAGTTATCGTCAAGATAAGTAGTAAAAGTTTGTGGAAAGTTTTAAAAACGATTTGTCCGTATTCATAAAAGATTAGCTCGAATGTGAGTAAATAATACATAAAGCAGTTGTCTGCTTAGTGAAAGTTAAAAGTTTCTACCGTCCGACCGGCCACCGATTCTTTATTGTTGTTAAACGCGCCTGAATATCGAAAATCTTGTACAGCCAGAATATTCGGAAGAGAGCATGGTGGGTGTACAGACAAAACGTGAAAACGTGATGTAGAAACTGGGAATGTTTATTTTATAATACAGATCTGTTGTTTATTTTCGTTACTGTCAGCGCAATTTACGTAAAGCCGCTCTTACTTTTTAACAAAAATGTAGCATCATTACAAAAGCACATTCGCCACCTCTTAATCCGTGGCACTCTGAAAATCAATAGCTGAAGATTTGTCAAGTTTTAAGCCTATTTTTGAAGTAATTTCGAATTCTTCTCGCGCAAAGTGAAAGTGGATGGGCCTAATTTTTTGTTTCTCTAACCTTTGATATCGAGCATTTAACCCCCCCAAATCTATTTGATGTTTGTGCTTTAAAAGAAGAGCAAAGCACTTTAACGTATTTATTTCAAGCCACAGCTACTGCCGTGCAGCGAAATTTAAGATTAACGTAACGTGTATTTTTCAAAATTAGATCCTTTTTATGCTGCAGGAGTGGGTAATTGTTTTCGTTCCAGTTAATAAATGCTTTGTAACTTTCTTTAAGAAAACCTAATTTGTATCTATCCCTTAAAATTTTATATTAACCCGGAAAAAGCTGATTAAATACAAGGTTCATGTTTAAATAAGTAAAACTGGGTGGTTATTATTTTATTTTTCGAGTAAAGTCGACTGTATAGGTGTTTCAGATGATTTGTTCGTACTTAATTATTATAATAGCATAATTTGGGACGAGGAGGAGGGGGTAAATGAAATTCTAAAGACGCCTCGTTTAATTTCATTATACAAAATGGTATAATTTCCACTGCTTTTTTTTACTAAGAAATTTGTTCGTTGTTCCTCATTGTGCCATTTATTATGACAAAAGCATAAAGTAGGTAAACCAAAAATCATTACTCCGTGAATTATTAGGGAAAACATTGCATAGAGATTTTAAGAAGAAGTCTTAAGGAGAAGATTATTAGAAGACTCTGTGAATATTCTAGGAAGATTTTCCCAGACTTTATTTAATAATGCACAAATAAACCGTAAACATTTCAGCCCCATAAGAAAATTGAGTTAAGTTAGCAGTGCGTACAAAAGAATAAT